TTTACAAGTGGTAAACGAGGAATTGTGGCTGGATGAGTTGTTTAAAGCTTGGCCACAGCCTCGTGTGTTACCTTCTATCAGAGACACAGACTAAAGTTATTTATTTTTCAGTACAATAAATACTTGGCAACCTTTCAAAAGCCCTGAAGGTCTTTGGACAAAGTTTTGTCTGATTCTCAAGAAACTTCCAGAACCCTAAAAAACTTACAACCATCTGGATTTTAAAAAAACAGCAACAACAACAAAAAGTGCTGCTGCCCACTACATTCTTGTGCAGCATCTCCAGATAGAAAAATGACACCAGACATCTCAGTCATTTTGACCCACACAACACACAAATATAACGTCTTTCAGTGTAATGTTTTGTTGTTCTTTAAAAAGTTGCTAAAATCTGGTTTCCCAATGTGAACATTTATAACCTACCACTGCTGGTTACACTTTCAGAGGAATCTTTGAGGATTCTGGAAATACCTCCACAATCAGAGTAAATGTTGTCAAATGAAATTCAGAGTTTTTGGAAAGTCATCTGATGCTTACCTCCGATACCGAGGAAGTTCATGAGAGACAAATGGCGGCTAGTTTGGAACAAGCATTTCGCCCCCTAACCTACCGCTAGGGAAGCACACACTCTCCACGTCAACACACTGCACTTCACCAATAAATCTCCTAACCACTAGCCACCCCATGCCCAGGAACAAACAAACACACACACGCCTTACTTACTCCTGACAACAAGATTGACGTTCTTGCGAGCAGGGTTGCCCACGTTGTTGACAGCTGTGCAGTTGTAGAAGCCCGCGTCCGCCGGCGTGACGGCTCGCAAAATTAATGTCTGCCCTCGAGTCTGGGCGCTGAGGGGCAGGAGGCCGGGGTACCGCGACCACAGCACCGTGGGCTGAGGGAAACCTGCCGTCACCTCGCAGGTCAGGAGCACGTCCTGCCCGGGATCCACCACCACCGTGTCGTTGACCGACAACCGGATCATCGGGGGACCTGAGGTGGAGAGACACAGGGAGGGAAGTGAGAAGAGAGGAAATCAGTTTGTCTACAGCTATATGGGACTGAACTAAAATGTATTGTTTTCATGCTGTGCATCTATAAGGATGCAGATGTTAGAGCCCAGAGTTTCCCAAGCATCCAGTGTTTTATAGCTATAATGTTGATGGTTGCAAATTAAGGACTCTTAGTGGTGTTCCAGGAGGGCTGCATGTAAATGGAGACATTATTTATTGTTTAGAGGGCAGAATAACTCATTAGGTTCTGAACCTAAAGCAGATTTTATAAATACGTTGCTTGTCACCTGGGTTGTTTGGCACCACAGCTACTGTTTCCACACCATTGTAAATGTATTTATCACACAACAAGCTACATTTGAATGAAAAGAAAAATGTGTCTCTATAATTTGAGCAGCAATAAACTCTCTTCTCTTTTTAACCAGTTATGGATATTTCAGGGCAGGAAGTTCCAGCTGTCTATGGGGAATCACCACATCACTATGCAAATCCCAGAAAAAAAAAAATCAAACCAAATCAGCACACAGCAGCTCTTTATAATTTTGTTCTGACTGCAAATACGGTGTAGTGTGTACACATATGTAAATATGTGCCAGAGTGTATTTGTTTCCCACTGAGTGTGTCTGGTGCATGTGTGTGCCTGTGAGCCGCTGTGTGCTGTACACACTAATCAGTATACCAAAGGTAATTTATGTCCCCGTCGCCCCGCCACTGCATCTATTTCCTGTGACTAAACTAACAGAAAAGTAGAGGATGACCCAAAATGCAACTGCAAAAAGTGGACAAAAAAAAAAGACTTTTGCCAGAGACAGAGATCGATTGGACACCAGCAGTTTCAAAATACGAAAAAAAAAAGGGCAGAGCAGTGGGAGCGAGGGCCACACATACTACATGGTACATTACCAAACAACTGAGAGGAAGGACAGAATAAAAGACAGGGCTGGAGCGGGGAGAGGGGGGAAAGGGCAAAAAGCAAAAAAGGGATATTAATCATCAAGAGGAGCTTTGGAGTGAGGAAGGAAAGAAACACAGACAAAGTGACAGTGAAAAAAAAAATAGCACACACACACACACAAACACACACAGAAATGCTGATAACCACACAGCACAAAGTGAGTTCTGTCTGCTCAGTACCACATGGAAATCTGTTGGTCGTCTCCTTCTTTTTTTTTTTAAACATTTATTCAAATCTGTTGCCGTTAACACACCTCGTTAACATTTTGTGTTTAGCTAAACTATGACCCGCGTGCAGGTGGCTGTCGAGGATTTGTGTTTATCTAACACTAAATGGTTGCTTAATCATATACTCTGGCCATAATATTTTCTGCGCATTTTGCGTGCCGTTAAAAAGCTTTTTTTTGTCAAAACAAGAGTCGCCGTGTGGCCCGTCTTGCTTTAAATGAGGCATCAAATATGGCTTGATTTACGGTCTAACGATGGTGAAATATCTGTCTGTTATATTATTTAGCTCAATGTAAATCGCAGCGCTTTTTAAAAGGTTCACATTGCTCTAGTTCATGTAGTTCAATTCCACCTGCAACATCTTGTAATAGGTTTTTGCATATCTTGCCACGGGGCGTAAATGGGGTGACGGGAGGGTAACATTGAGAGAAATGAGCTTGTGACCAAATGTCACCCGTTTAAATCCCTTGAGTGGCTACAAAAAAATCTTTTTGGTGCAGTAGAATAGAAAGGTTTCCACCTCCCTCATCAACTACAGTAAAAACACCCCGAGGCAAAGCAGCCAAGCCCCAGTTTCTTTACTGGAGCTGCTTCACTGGTCACGAGTTACTAATCTGTGGTTGTACTGTACAGCTCACTGGTGTGAATTTGTCTGTGTGTGTAACTCTAAGTCTATCTTTGACTATTTGGCCAAGTTACAGCACAAAAAAAGAGGAAGAAAAACCCAAGGTTGTTGCATTCTATTAACATTTAGTTTAATCAAACTGTCTCTTTCACTTTTGTACGCACTCTTCAGCTAAACTCCACATCACACTGTGGTTCTTATTCTTCAGCAGGCTTGTAAAACATAATAGAGCAGGTGATAACTATATCTTTATGTAGCATAATGATATACTGATGTGTTGGAGATGTTTCTTCCCCCATGCATTCTGTATATTAATTCATTTTCTTGATATATGCACCTTGTTTGGAAAATGTGTCTTTTCTCACACAAGCACTGAAGAAGACATCAACACACACACACACACACACACACACTCTAAAGATCCGGCGCTACAGCGGTAAACACCTCTTTTATTTGCCAGTGCGAATTCATTCCAATTCTGTGGATGAAGAAGGATGAAAGAGGCTTACACTCTCTAATAGGTTTAGATGCTTTATCCAACCTCAGAGTCAGAACCAGGTGAATCCACGCTAACCCGAGTAATAATTATCCGCAGCAATATGTAGGCCAGTCACCTCTTTCTGCCATTAGCAATACTTCCAATACGAGAGAAAGAAAAGGGCCTCGACAATTCATCCGTTCCATTTTTTTTTTTTTTTTACATTATTAACATGCAAAAACAGTCATAAAAAAAGGAAAAGTATTCAGCTGCTGAGATGAAGTCAGCCTCTTTCACAGCTGGATCATGAGGTTGGCCATTCAAACTGGTCCTCTGATATATATATATGAATCCAGGTTGTTTTTCACTTTGTTATTATGCACACATCGCTGCCATTGTGAGCGCAGACACATTTAGTTTCTTGGAGGACAGTTGAGCGGAAGTTAGCTGCTGATCATTCATGTGTGTTTTAGCAAACATTTACATGAATGTCTAATAGCCTTTAGAAATATTTATACTCAGTAAGATTTTTATTACTCACATTAATAAGAAATCTGAGCTTTTGTACATTTAATATGACAAAAAAAAAGTTTTTCTTTTAACAAATCGTGCTAATTTAATGTATAACTGATAAAGAGATCTCATTTACTAATTTGTAGACAAATTATAATGGTGCTGGTATGCTAATTGTGGTATAAAATATGCTAATTGATGTGACTGAATGAGAAATACTACTAATTATATTAACTTTTTTTTTTAATCGTTGTTGTGTTAAACTAATTGAATAAACAATACCCCACAGTGTTGATTGGTGTCATGCATGAGATAAAACCTTTTATCCAGACTTCTTTGATGACAAACTACACACATACATCACACTACAAAGAGGAAAAAAGGCATTCGAGTTTGCAAACAAGGCGAGGTTTTAACTGGTTGGTGAAAGCTGAGGTTGTATGGATGAGTTGGGGCTCCAGATGAGTTGGAAATGGTTTGGAGAATGACATTTTAGCAAGTTTTGGATTTAAAGCCGAGTTTGATTATGAGCTGTTGAAATGTTTGACAAACCGCAAACCGACGCATCTCCTAAATTGACAAACCAAATGTTAAATCCATCTATTACACCATTTTTTTTCATGAAACATAGTTTATTTGTAAAGACATACTGTTTTGATTAACTCTTTAAATGATTTGAGTTTTTTTTTTTGAGTTACTACGCATGTGTTACCGCTTTATGCTCATTTTTTAAACCAATTGTTTTCTATGAGGCATTTTCAGCTGAACATTATAAGAAATGAAGAGTTCATTTGCAAAAACAGATAACTACATCTTCACAAACCTTCAGAAAACCCGCTTCTCCATCGTCTACCTGAGACAACATCAATCAAACTTAAGTTATCTCTGTTTTTGTTGTCATTTCTACTGAGCTAAATCCCCTCAGCTTCAGTTTGATTGATAATATCTCAAGCAAAAAAACAAAAAAACAAGTTTTCTAAAAATCTAAAAAACCCTACTCGCTGCAGCACAAGCACACCAGCTCACCAAAGCCTCTGCACAGACATTGTGAACTACTCCCCGCTATACACAACATGACAGCTGCTAATATTGAGCTAATTCAGCCCTACATGTTCAACCCAGAAACCCATTTTGAAGAAGGCTAATAATACAGAAAGTCCCACCCTAGAAGCTCACAGGTTTGTTATGTATGAAACCCCACAAGTCTGTGTTTTTGAGATTTTCATGTATATTCAGTCATTATACATCCTCTAGCACATAAAAAACACTATATGGACGTGGTAACGAGGCAAAACAAACAAACAAACAAAGATTTCTACTGAAGGGGGTCTTTAAATTGTGATATTTGAGTGTTTTGAATGACTACACTCCAGATGTGTGTTTTTCTGAAATGGGCTCTAGAGGATGAGAAGGAGGAGCACCCAGGCTTTTATCAACCTGCGAGAGAGTTAATCCTTAGCTAGAGACCAACCCGGCAGAGTACAGGAAGCAATTCATTCGTCTAACAGACTTTATGCAGTACATCCTCTCATCTAATCTCTTTTTTAACAGATTGCAATCGCCGTAATGAAAGAGGTGCAGAGAGGCTCACCAAACTACTTTACAGATGCGTGTTTCTGCTAATACGAGAGCGGGCACAAAGCCGTGCGCACACGCAGACAGGCTTGTTTTCTTAAATGAGTGCCAAAAAAATGTGCATGCAAAAACACACACACACACACACACACACACACACACACACTAATGGGATATCGCTTTAGCTAACCTCACCAGTGATGGCTCTAAAGCTGACAAGAAATTTCACTGGTGTAACAGCTGCAATCAGCACATAAATAGCACTGTCTACTCCCATTGTATCAAATCATAGCACAAGGAAAGTAAACCCCTGTAGGCCTGCAATGCTTTCTAAGCGCTGAATGGACCCCCATGGAAACTGTTTTGCTTCATTATTTCACTGTTTGTTAAAGGCAGCAACAGTGGAATAAAGTGTCAGGATAATTGGGGATATACTGTAGCACAAGCCTTTATATTATTATATATTAAGACTAAGGCGCCGTACATCAAAGAGTCAGGGAGACTGCAGATTGGCTTTAAGTAAAAGTTAGTTTGTTTAGTTTTGTAGCTTTGTGATGAACCTGTTCAGAGTCTCTTCCTATTCTGTGCTGGAGTAGGTTTCATCTCC